CTGATGTTTTTCCATTCAATCGTCAAATCAAAGTTGACTTTGTCTCTTTCTGTCTGACCTGTGATTCCCTCCGAAGTATTTGTTATGTGTAAAACTAGAAATTGAGCTGAGGATGTGTTGTAGGTGCTTTAACAAAGACAATCACAGTTTCTTTACCTCCACATTTCATTTAAAAAAAGTGTTACATTACATTAATATGGTACTCACTTTTCTTTTAATTAAATGTACCCGTATAAGCAAAATGGCATCTTTAAAAGCACAAGTTATGAAACAAACAATATCTATAATATTAACACATTTAACAAGACAAAAACTACATCCTTAATTTCTTGCAAAGTTTACTTTTTCTTTGGAGACCCACTGAACAAGCCTCAGAAGAGACTGTTCATGTTCACGCTTAACAGCAGGAGTCAACATCCAGGTAAACAGTTTGTCATCACATATGGGTCACTCTTTCATTACTTTGGTCATTTGTATGCACGTTATATGGAACACCTACAAGAGGGAAGAAAGGGATACATATTAGTGCTGCACAGATAATGACAAACAGGACTGAAGCTGTGATGTTGAAAAAAAAAAAAAGGAAATTCCTTAACAACACTGTCCATCAGAAATAATGGCAGATAAATGTTCACTGTGGTTGATCATCTATCTGAGATATTGTGAGATTTTCCAGATAGCTTGTAATCTACAGATTATTCTTACTTGATGACTTCATGCTGACATTTATCTGTCCATGCTTCTTTTTCCTGAGGAGAGAAAGAACAAAGGTGAGAGACTCCAAGATGAAGATAAATAACTATTGCATGAGCAGGAAAGAATAGAAGAAACCCAGATAGAGATAAATAGTTATGGTAGAATGAAGAATAGAACCCTTTCCAGTGTGGATTTACTCTCAGATAAAGATGCTTCTGAATTTTTACACCTGTGACCTGAAATTAAAATTAAACTTTTTTCCTGGTTACTTCCCTGCTGCCAAAGCAAGTCAGAATTAGAGGGAGCAACCAAAAAAAGCTGTATCATCATCTTATCCTTGAAAAATATGAATTGAAACAGAAAAGGATGGAAGGGCCCATGCCCTGGTAGTGCACAATAGGAGCAGTTGAAACTCACTTGGCTTGGCATTTACAAACACACACAATGGTAACCACAATGACGATCACAGCGACTGAGACCAGAACCACAATCAGGATTAACTCCCAGGTTTCTGCAACAAATAATAAATATATTAGAAAAAAAAAACGTTGACTCTTTCTATCAGCCAAAGATCAGAATAGATGAAACTGTAGGAATAAGAATAAGACCACTATATGCAGATTTTTTCCTGCAATTAACTTTGATGATTTGCAGGTAAAAAAAAAAAGGACTCTGGCCTCAATCCGAGCCATTCTGCTCAATAGTTGCGCAGAGTAACAGCAGAGTTAACTCCCTGCAGAGTGAGGCAGATGTATGATCAGGCCGTACCCAGTCCTTCTTCTGTCTGTATTTTCTCCCCCTCACAGTAAGAGCCCTCGAAGCCCTCTGTACACTGACAGGTGAATGTGTTGTTGCTGCCTGCTTCACATGTTCCTCCATTCAAGCAGGGATAGCTGAGACAGGGACTCGCTGCAACACAGAACAGTCAGTGTTAAGACACTGAATAAAATAAAGAAAGACAGCAGGTTAAGTTATGTATTCAGGTCATCAGTGAAGACCTCCTGAGCGTACAACAAGACACAAGACTACAGCAAAACTGCTTTGATATTAACGACCAGGGCCACATAGCACAGTCAGTTGCTAATGGTAAAAGGACTGTATTTACATACATATACACACATGTTCATGCAACACTTGTACATATAGCACTAAGGCAGGAATTGTACTTTCCCATGTAATTAAAGTGCATAGAAATATTAATATTATATATATCCACCATCATGATCTACGATCCACCATCACTATCATGAGCCACAACGAAATATTTTAAGATGATTGTCTTTTGTTCTAAATATTTACATATATGTAAAGCACATTTTATTTTGGAGAACTCTTCCCATTGAAGCGCATGCACACACAAACACACCTCTGTAGCAGTCACGTTTAAAGTCATAGATGGAGCAGACGTAACCGTCCTGGCAGGTCTGGGATTGGCACACAGCGC